TCCCTGATTCAGTACATAGAGCTTGGTTACTTGCGATTGAGCTTCACTGCTATTCAACCAGAAACACCACTGGAAAATGCTGACAAAAAGCAACTGTGTTGCTCATTAGCATATTTATAGGAGTACAAAACATTCAAGGCTCTAATTCTATTTACTTTACTTGGCTATATCAGCAGTCTTGAATGTAGGAATAGGGACACCAGTAAGTATCTCAGCAAGTTTCCAAAAACTTTCGTTAGTTTCTTGTTAAAACTCCAGTTTCCTGTCCTCTGAAAGGTACAGCTGTCCTTCAAGGCAACAGAAATGTTTTGTGTTCTCCTGGACATGAAATGTAGATTACCAGTCAGTCCTGAGGCTGCTGCTTCTTTTGAAATCTGCTTCGGGAACCAAGGATTCCCACGGGATATAAAATTTTGTCAGTGCTACTGGTAATATACAGAACCCCGTGGAAGATAAGGTAACTATACTGAGGCTTTTATTTACTGAGGTCATAGCAATTATTATAAATACTAAAGCTGGAAACAAATTCAAATTTTACAAGCTCCTTCACCTGCAGCAACCAGCTTTTGAAGGTACAATGTTTGCATTTAAAATTCTGGAAACCGATGCAGCATTTGGGTCTCCTTATACAGGAAAAGTAGGCTGCAAGATCTCATTTAGAAACACATCATACAGAGAGTGAGGCTCGTAAGACTGTGGCTTTGACTATTCTGAAAAAAAATTGAGCTTCAAAGAAAAAACTGGAGGCACTGGAGGAAAGCCAAAAAAGTCATACTCAGGTATGGAATATATTAAAAAAAGCTGGATCTCCAACAGAACAAAAATTTATCCCTCTGGGTTTTTTTGGGTTTGGTTTGCTGGGGTTTTTTTTAAGCATGAAGACCGCTTTGCACTAATAAACCCTATTTTAACACAGTATAGAAATGTATTCCTATGTCACAGACCTTTCAGAATGCTTTCCAAGTTTAGACAAGTAACTGAAAAAGCAACACATGAGTTTACCCCTTAAATTTGCAGCAACGCTTTTTACTACTTTTTCTTTATTACTGCCATGTAAACAGTTGGGATAAGGACGCTTCCCATCAAAATTTGATCAGCATTTTTTAGCGTATTGTTTCTTACATATTCATAAATCCTGTTAAAAAATGAAAAGTCCTTTACAAATAAAAACGGAATTGACAATAAAAAGCATAGAATCAATTACATTTTAAATGTGATATCTGAAAGGATATAATAATAAACTATTTATGACATATCCAGAAGGACATAACAATAAATTCTCTCATTTATATTCTTATTTAATATTGCAATCTTTCACTTCGCTCTAATAATACTTACTTCATAAGCAATATTTGTTAAGAAATCTGTAATTTTAAGATAAGTTCACAAAAAGTTGGTTTTTAATAGTTTTACAATTTTAATAATTATTATTTTTAAAGGCCTACTTGCTTTTAGGATTTAAGATCAAGTGTGTATCAATTTAAGTAGGACTTTGACACTTCAGTGTCCTTGTGGAGCTGTCACTACGTTATTTAGGAGCACAAGAACTAACAGAAGCTATGAGTCATTCAGGCTGTGATTCCACAGTGTATTTCTCTTGTTGGCAAAGCTGACTTAAGCAGTTCCTGCCACCACCTCTATATTTTACCAGCTCATTTGTTCTCTTCACCTTGTCCTGAGCCCTTCATTTTAATCCTTCGTTTGTGCCAATACAAAGGTTTGTCAGGCTCCCAGGTGAAAGAGATTGGAGAAATTATCTATATTTTAAATAGCTATACAAACCCTCCTCTCACATTTTGGCAGAGAGATTTCTAACTCAGAGGAGGTCCCTGACCAGAATAACCAAGCATGCTACCAAACAGACAGGGTGATATTAGGTTGCCTACAAGTGGGTTGGGGTGAAGAACGGGAGAGAGCAGGGAACCATTTAGGTCAGCTTTACTTCCAAGAGAAACGTTTGTGAAACTGTGATCTTAGATACTTACCTTAGGTACAAATATCCATCCTCACGATTCATTGGTATCAAAACTGCCTTACTAATCGATGGCTCTTCAGTATGCTTAAGAACTAAGTATGACAACCTCACTGCAGTTCATAATCAGTTTCCAAAATACAAAATTCACTGCCTTAAACGAGAATCTTGTTCACCAGACCTAGTCTACAGAATGAAACTGTTAGAAGTGTCCCACCAGTGGTAGGTTTGAACAACAGCAGCTGGGCAGTATGATGCAGTAGCAGGTACCTGAAGGTATCAGAGTTGAGATGAAATGGGTCACTCTCCAAAGATGTCCACCTCTTGCCGCAGAAACTTCTTACACAACTTTGACCACATGACTACCTTTAAGATAGTCAATGTTAACTGTTCATGCCACAATCACCAGTTTTTCTCTGAAGACCTGTGAATGTCAAGGAGCTTTCCTCTTGCTGGATCAGTGACTCAAGGGTCTAAGTTTCACATGACAAGAGTTCAAGAAAGCTCAATTTCCACTTACATAGTGTAATGAAGTAAACATACCTACAAAGATATTAATCTCTAAGTTTTCACCAACCACCAACCTAGCCTCCAATTTAGTTTTCAAATTGAAAATTTTCTTTAAAATCTGACCTCTGTAATTTTCTTATTCGCTCACTATGGACTATTACTTTACTTTTCTTCTTTTCTCATACAACAGCTACATTTTAAAACAAAATGCAGTCTCAAAGACAGTAACATTTCTTTAAAAACTACTGTGTAGCTTGGTTCTACAGGAATACTGAGGAATATACAATTGAGGCTGCCAAAACAAGTGTTCATTTCTCAGATGCAAAGTCATAAATATCTGCAGAAATGCAGAAATGCATCCTGACGCCAAGGATTATTACAGGTATTTTGAAAACAGCTGCTTACAGTTAGAGGAAGAATTTCTAGACTGTATATCCTCAAAGATTTCCATAGTAGGAAGCAACATTAAAAACACCGCTTTGCTTCTTAGCACAAAGATATTCATAATACTGCCAGACTATTTGAATGCCCTGCACTCTACAATTAAAATGTTTAAGAATTCTAAACTAATTTCTCTGTGAACAATTCTGGTACAAAACACTTTGTAACTAATACACTACCAAGTTAGAAAGCATCACATAGTTCTTTGTTGCATGCAGTAGAGGGCATTTAGAGGGCACAATTGTAACGCATCGAAGCTCTATTACTTTTTTGGAATCACAGGGGAAAAAGAATAAAAGCAGAAAAGGTTACTCTGAGTACTGCAATAACTTACTGGTCCTTTAGCCAGTCAGTAACAAAAGGAATGGAAAAAAATTCTGTGAATGATTCATCTTTCTTCTTTGGGTTCTTGCTGATAAGAAAAAAAAAAGAAAACAACTCATATTAATTTAAATTGTAGCTATTCTGTTGCAAATTAATGCCTTTGAATCATTGAGCATAATTAATAGTAAAAGCCACGATCAACTTACTTGTATAACCACTCAGTTAGGAAATCACAGGCAATAAATTTGGTCCTTTTTCTCTAAAGATAGAAGATAGTTTCAAATTATTTATTATCTTTGGATTGGTCACATGTTTTTACTACTGGAGAGGAACAGAAGCTAAATTGACTGCTTTTATTAAATAAAATATACAGTACATTACTCTGTCTACTTCAACATTGCTACTGCCAACATTCAGTGGCCTAGCCAAAATTTTAGAAATTTTGTGGAATGCTTTCAAGTCAAGTCAAAAAACTAGTGAGAAAATTCTACATATACTATCTGGATATTTGCTGCAGTATAGCTATAACAAGTATCTCAGAATGGTGTTCTTTCTAAGTCACAATCTCATTGCAAAGAAATTAACAGAAGTCATATGTGAAAATACATTGTAAGTTACTTGCCATTTTGTTCAAAGTTCTTTATCAAACTTAAAATACTTCATTGCTTCCAAGGCACAGAAGGAACATTGATAGAATATCGTTTCCTCCTGCACAGAACCAGCTTGAAGTCATTGTGAATATTTAAGACACACACACAGCAGATTATTGTATGGCTGCTCAGACAAAATCATCTGTTGGGTAGTCCAGAAAGGAAGGCAGAAACAAGGCGTATGTATAGCCACAACCACAGATACCATGCGCATTACAGAGAATCAGGTAAAACATTCAAAACCTGGAGCTTTGGAGCAAACCATTTGTGCCCTTTGCTCCCGCTTGCAAGACTTCTTCACCACCAAAGAGAATTTTGCAAAATGCTTTGCAGTGGGTTATCCTTAGCGACTCATGCAGCCAGTACTTGTTTAGGTGGACAGCACTGCATGCTGCAAAATACATTTTGAGTTCAAAATTCAAAGCATGAATTTTGATCAAGACAGAATTGATTAGGGCCTTCCTTTTCTTAGAGATGTCCTCTCCACATTCCATCTTTACAGACTGAATCTATAAATGAGTACAGGTGCTTATTCTGCTTATCACAAACCAGAGTAACCATGATGTGGAGAATATAATGTAGACTTCTGGTCAGAATAACAGAAAAGCTTGACTAGTATCATCTGAACCCCTCTTACATGAGATGTGTTAACACACAGCCAGCCAGAGTGAACACAAAAAGACATTAAACCCCTGCAGAACAGAGACACTGAGCGCTTTATCAAAATAGCAGCCATTTAGCTAAGAGAAAGTGTAGGTCCCATCCAGTAATACTTACCCTGTCAAATGGGAGATTCAACTGCAATTATTACTTTTTAGGAAAACAATTCACACTGGTCAAACACACTTGTGGAACTGCTAAATGTCATGAAAGAGGCTGGAGTCTTGATTAAAATGGGAGAAATGAAGGTAATACTACCACTTGCTAAGAAAAATACAATAAATATGTAATTGGAAATTCAATGCATGACAAATGACTTTATTCTATGCTTTATCCTCACCATCTGTGTTTCTCCTTGTGCTACAAAAATATGATGCAAAAAGGACTGGGGCATGTGAACGGAGAGGCAGGAAAAAAGTGCTCTACATGGCATAATTCTTTCACTTTGGGGTATTAGCACATGGCAAAATTTGGGGGTCAGTATATTACTTCAGCCACAGGTGAAGTGGAAGAGGAGCATTAGGTGAGGTGCTGACTGCACAGTGAAGAATACAGGGTAGTCATGTAGCTAGGGGATGACAAATGTGAAGTTTAGAGCTAGACTGCATGGCATTCCTAGATGATACCCAGGGAAGCTTTCACTTTTCTAAGTGAATCTTATCCTTGGCAGACAGTCTGACTCCACAGAAAAGAAAGAGAACTTCTTAAAAAAAAAAAGGCAGAAGAACAGAAAAAGAGAACATTGCAAAACAATTATCAGTCCTGAACCCCATGTGCCTTTATGATCTGTTTCATGACAACAAAAGCTTTGGGGTTCATGTAGCGCTCCATTAGAGTGCTTGGCTGCAAAGAAACACATCTCCTTCAGGAATTTTCACACTTGTCATGCTAATTATCAGATACTGTTGTGAGAACCCAAATGCTTAAGCTTTAGGAGACCACCACCTTCACTGTAGAGCTTTCTACAGATCATTTTAGATGTTAGATGGACAAATTTTTACTTGAACAGAATCTGAAAACAAATAGCAGAGTCTGATTGTGTTTGTACAGCTATTCTCAATCACAGTATGAAACTGGGTCCCATTACTTAGTGAATTGTTTCAGAGAAGAAATTCTATACTTTGACAACAAAATTCAATTTAATCTAGCAGTTGTAATTTAATCTGTTTTAAGTAAATTACTTTTCCTTTGCAACGGGAAAAAACGATCAGAACAGTGTTGTCAAAACAGTCATCACCAAAGGAATCAAATTCATCTTGCTTTATCCTTGTTAGATCCAGTGAACTTATCAGGGAGAAATTTGGTCAAGCTGAATATTTTTTTATTTTGTTATTTTTTTGCCAGGAAACAGTTCGCTTTGCTACTGAATTAAATCATTAGTTGCACAGCAGTCAACATTTATAGAAGGGAAAATGACATAAATTGACCTGCCTTTGACACATTCCTCCTATGCTACGTGAATCAGGATAAACACAGGAAATATCTGCACAATGTGCATTGTTAACCTGCAGATGTGTTTATAAACTATTTATACTCAGAATTCATTTCCCATTTTTCAGTTTAAATATGATGTGCTTGCTGATAATCATGCAAAAATACTAGTGATCAGGAGATGGCAAACTCATTAGGAAACCTTCTTCCATTCACTTTCCCTGATCTATCATACTTTAAGATATAATATATTCCATTACAGAGTCTGATACAGCATTCTCTTTCTGTGATCCCTAACGAGAAAGAAAAAACAGAGTTATGCTAATAAAAACATTTAAACATTGTTCAGTTTTAATGCTGAAAAATGAATGCATTAGTCAGTTCTCATGAGAGAAAAGATTTAAGAAAATAGTCTTTCCCCTGGAGACATTTGACAGCAGAGAGGATAAAGCACAGGAGAACTTATGGCAGGGAAAAAAAATTAGCAAGGGAATACACTGGGCAACCCAATAGGTTTCTTTCATCTCTAATTTAAAAACGACGCTTCTGCAGACTGTTCTCATATTTATGTCAGTTTGAAGTCTGCAAATGTATTTAGCAGCTGGTGGTTTTTCTAGGTTTTTGCTTTTCAGATTTTTTGTATGCACTACATAATGCAAGAGAGCCTATTTTAAAGAAAATGTTTAAGTTGTTATGTTTCTATACCACCTTCCAAATAAGATCTTGCAGATTTCTCTCCTACACAAATGACTACTTTCAGCATAACCATCTCCCTTTCCTGACTTTCCCATCTGATTCTACAATTCTTCCTTTCCAGACAGGGATGCATCTTTTCTGGTCTCTTCCTTGAACTCCTCTGTTGGGCCCATGATCTGCTCTCCCTTACCACAATTTCAATTGCTAAACAACTCTCCTACTTAATTTTTCATTCTCTTCTCATTCATCTTCATTCCCCATCAAAATATGAAAACCTTTAGTCCCTCTCATCAAAAACCCACTCTTCATTCTCCCTTGCAATTCCCTCTCTCTTCTCCCAGGCTCATTCAACGTTGACGGCAGTCAGTTCGATTATTCCTCCCTTTCTTCCAGTGCTTCTTCCATTTATCTTCCACTGGTTTATTCTATATAGATGCCCTTTACAGGCATTAATGACTCATGTCTAGCCAAAATTCAAACCCAGTATTCTGTTCTCATCCTTCATGATTTCAGTTAGCTTAATCACAATTAATCATGTTCCTCTCCTGTTCTCTCATGAATTCTGTCAATCTTTCTACTCTTTGTTCTCTTCCTATTTTTCTATCTTCTGGTGTGTTTATCACAAGATCCTTTCTCCCTCTCCTTAACTTTCTCTGGATTTCTAAGGGCTCAGTTTTTGATCCTAAAAATCAGTTCCAGTAATTGCACTAACAATTTTATACAAAGTATAGCATGTTTTTTTCTCCAAACCCATATGGAACAACACATTTCTAATGAAACAAAAGTATAATTAGAAATTACGTATTTGAGTCAGATACGGAAACAGAAAATCCAAGTACAGGCACCTGGACAGTAATGAAAAAGAACACAAATATCCAGTTATATGGCAAGCATAAAGAGCTATTGTTTTACTAGTTATTGTTCAGAAGGAGGAAGACATGATCTCACTGTGGAAAATGATCATCTGACATAAGCTTGCTTTCCTAAACTTGGTTCCCCAATAGCAGGACATCTCTTCATATAGCAACAAAAATCACTTAGTGTCTTTTTGATAACGTGCTGATTTTTATGAAGTTTCTATACATTAGAAAAAAAATTGTTTTTATTAGTTTACTATAAAGCAACACATAGACCCATACAAAATCCATTTTCAGAACAGATACTTTCTAATCTATGTACCACTGAAGCTCTGCAAAATTTCTCAGATTAAAAATAGACAAAGTAACTTAGATTTGTCCTGAGTTTGAAACTGAAATATTTCTAATAATTCTCATATTTTTGTATTAAGTGCTGTTTTATTGCCTTCAGAAATATGTAACATCTATCAAGGACTGTATTTTAAGCCAGCTGTAAGACATGCCTTTTTCCTGTTAAATGATATGTGCTTCCTTTAAAAAAAAAATGAATTAATATAGATTTAATTAGAAGTGTGATGAATAATATATATGTTCAATCTGCTCTTGGCTAGGTAATGTAAATATGATGGCAGGAATGACATACAGAGATGTCATGCCATAATGACATGTAAATGAACCATTTTCCTATTTGACCTGCATTAATCACGTGTTACAAATACATATACACACATCTATAAATCAATCAGTTTATAGACACACACAAATCTTGTGAAGACTGAGCAAAAACTGAAATAACTTACTGTTACTAAATGTACAGATTGGGATTTGAAAGGTGAGTTTGGGGTGTCCATTCACGCATGGTAAGCTTTGTGTATTTTTGGCTGTGCCAGGCATGTATCGGTCAGTGGCAAATAGCACACATGTAATTTTTACAAATTGTTCCACGTCTGTTATCATATATACACATGCCTATAACAGGAAGTCAATGTCAGTAGTTGGAGAGGAGGTAATCAAGACCTAAGATGATTAATAACTCACTAGTAACACAAAGTCCTCCTCACTTTGCTATCATTTTAATTTATAACCCCAAGAGCACAGACTGTATTCTTCAGATGTGTATCATGTAGAAAAAGGGAGATATTTTCATTATTGTTTATATTAATTGCTCTTTATATTATGAAGCTGCAATTAAGGAGGCTCAGCTGCAGGCATAAAAATGTAGAGAGGTTTTACATTGGAAAGTGTGGATGACAGGCAGAGAGTAGGAAAGAAATAGTAAAAAAATTACTTCCATGGGTGGAGAAAATAGGAGAAATGATGGAAAACCCCACAACTCCCAGTACCTAATCTGTTGCTGGGGGTCTGTGAGTTAGGCTATCGTGATACAATGAATCATAGAACGGTTTGGGTTGGAAGGGACCTTAAAGATCACCAGTTCCAACCCCCCTGCCATGGGCAGGGACACTTTTCACTAGACCAGGTTGCTCAAAGCCCCATCCAGCCTGGCCTTGAACACTTCCAGGGACGGGGCATCCACAGCTTCTCTGGGCAACCTGTTCCAGTGCCTCACCACTCTCATAGTGAAGAATTTTTTCCTTATATCTAATCTAAATCTACCCTCTTTCAGTTTAAAGCCATTACTCCTTGTTCTGTCACTACATGCATGCCCTTGTAAAAAGTCCCTCTCCAGCTTTCTTGTATCCCCCCTTCAGGTACTGGAAGGCTGCTACAAGGTCTCCCCAGAGCCTTCTCTTCTCCAGGCTGAACAACCCCAACTCTCTCAGCCTGTCCTCATAGGAGAGGGGCTCCAGCCCTCTGATCACCTTCATGGCCCTCCTGTGGACTTGCTCCAACAGGTCCATGTCCTTCTTATGTGGGAGGCCCCAGAGCTGAATGCAGTACTCCAGGTGGGGCCTCACGAGAGGGGAGTAGAGGTGGAGAATCACCTCCCTCGACCTGCTGCTCACGCTTCTTTTGGTGCAGCCCAGGAAATGGTTGGCTTCCTGGCCTGCAGGTGCACATTGCCTGGTCATGTTGAGCTTCTCATCAACAAACACCCCCAAGTCCTTCTCCTCAGAGCTGCTCTCTGTCCATTCTCCGCCCAGCCTGTATTTGTGCTTGAGATTGCCCCAACCAATGTGCAGGACCTTGCAGTTGGCCTTGTTGAACTTCATGAGGTTTGCATGGGCCCACCTCTCCAGCCTGTCAAGGTCCCTCTGGATGGCATCCCTACCCTCCAGCGTGTCAACCACACCACACAGCTTGGTGTCATTGGCAGACTTGCTGAGAGTGTGCTCAATCCCACCGTCCATGTTGCCAACAAAGATGTTAAACAGTGCTGGTCCCAATACTGACCCCTGAGGAACACCACTTGTCACTGGTCTGCACTTGGACATTGAGCCGTTGACTGCAACTCTTTGAGTGTGACCATCCAGCCAATTCCTTATCCACTGAGTCGTCCATCCGTCGAATCCATGTCTCCCCAATTTAGAGACAAGGATGTCATGTAGGACAGTGTCAAATGCTTTGCACAAGTCCAAGTAGATGACATCTGTTGCTCTTCCCTTATCCATCGATACTGGAACCCCATTGTATAAGGCCACCAAATTTGTCAGGCACGATTTGCCCTTAGTGAAGCCATGTTGGCTGTCACCAATCACCTCCTTGTTTTCCATGTGTCTTAGCATAGTTTCCAGGAGAATCTGCTCCATGATCTTGACAGGCACAGAGGTGAGGCTGACCAGCCTGTAGTTCCCCGGGTCTTCCTTTTTTCCCTTTTTAAAAATGGGGGTTATGTTTCCCCTTTTCCAGTCAGTGGGAACTTCACCAGACTGCCACGACTTCTCAAATATGGTGGATAGTGGCTTAGCAACTTCAACTGCCAGTTCCCTTAGGACCTGCAGATGCATCTCATCAGCTCCCCTGGGCTTTT